GTAACGGAGCCGCCGGCCCCGTGGGACGAAGGGTTTCCTGCGAGGAAGGTGGGACAGGGAGGGGAAGACAATAAACCCCAGGAAATGCTGGGAATAGCGGAGGGAACGGCAGTGCCGTCAGCGCTGGGCCCGGACGGAAGCCTCAGGGCGCAGGGGGCAGCCAGACAGGAGCGGAGGGACCGTCCTAAGTCCTGGCACATCGGCTGGGCTGTGGTGGTCACCTCCAATCTCGCTCTGATTTGCCCCAAATCCTAAGCCCGGGGTTATCCACGTCCCGTTATACCATCGGGAGTCAGTGGGGATGGGGGTCCGGGGAGAAGGGACCGCTGTGATGCCCATCCTGACGGTACCACGGGGCTCCAGTGAGTCCTTGCCCGGGCCTGGCAGGTCCCAAGTGAAGGTGGGCTCGGGGGGAGCCCCTTGCCAGGCTGTGGCCGTGGGTACCCGGTTGTCGAACCCCCGTGCTGGGTGATTTATGGCTGGGAAGCACCGGCGCAGACGGGCTGGGACAAATCCGCCAGGAAACACCGACTTCAAAGGGTGGAACAATGGTGGGATGGGGAACACCACCGTCCTGGGCACACAGGGCACTGCGGCCCCCGTGGTGGCACTGGCACCCACACGGCGACTGGCACCCATACCGCGGCACTGACACCCACACCACAGCACTGACACCCACACTGTGGCACTGGCACCCACACGGTGACTGGCACCCACACCGTGACACTGACACCCACACCACAGCACTGACACCCACACCGTGACACTGGCACCCACATGGCGACTGGCACCCACACCATGGCACTGACACCCACACCGTGACACTGACACCCACACTGTGACACTGACACCCACACCATGACACTGACACCCACACCACGGCACTGACACCCACACCGTGACACTGACACCCACACCGTGACACTGACACCCACACCACGGCACTGACACCCACACCGTGACACTGACACCCACACCATGGCACTGACACCCACACCGTGACACTGACATCCACACTGTGACACTGACACCCACACCATGGCACTGACACCCACACCACGGCACTGACACCCACACCGTGGACTGGCACCCACTTTGTGGTACCAGGACCAACATCAGGGTACAGGGACCCACATGGCATTGGGACACATGTCATGGTTTCAGGCCCCACCCCACAGCACCAGGACCCACACCGTGGCACTGGCACCATGGCACCAGCCTCCATGTCAGGACAGCAGCACCCAAACCTCACCTGGGGACCAGGCTGGCACCCCCCATGAGCCCCCACACCTGCCCTCTGTGCCCACCTGTACCCCACGTGTGCGACCCCTGTGAGCTCCATCCCACATCCCACGTCCCATCCCACATCCCACCCGCGCACGTGGCAGAACCACAGGCACCGGAGCCTCCTCCTCTCATTCCCATCCTGCCGATCCCGGTGGGGCGTGCCGGGGCGGTGGTCCCACGGCGCATCCCCCGCCCCTGCGGACACGCAGGAAACCTGGGGGCCCAGGGGGGGCTGCAACCACCAGACAAAGGCTTGGAGGAAACTCCGGCGGCCAAAATAAACCGGGAGATGCGAAGAGGTGCCTCGACTCTGCTCCCACGGCCTCACCACCCCTCGCACCCGTGCCAAGAGGGGCTGACGGTGCTCGGTGCCCCTTTGGCTAGGGACATTCGTCCTGTCACCAGTCCGGGAATGCCGGTGGCAGGGCTGGGTGCCACTGCTCGGTGCTACAAGTGCTCCCATCACCAGCACGGCTGCTCCGAGCAGTCCCGGGGATCCTCCAGTTGGCTGCGGGGGGTGTTGGGGGCGGCATTTTCCCAGGCCCTGCCGTGACCCCTCTGTCCGCAGGAAGGTGGCCCCCCCTGCTTGCCCCCCTTCCCACGCCGGCGGGCATCCCGGTGCCAGCGCCGGTGCCCACATCCTCAGGAAGCGGGCAGGAAACGCGGGGCCGGGGGGGCAGCGGGGGTGAGGAGGGCACAGTGTGGGGCGGGATTGCGGGGGGAGCTCATCGTGGGCCCGTCAGAACCCCCCGGAGTCATTTAGAGCCGCTCAGGCGGTGACAGGAATTAAATTGCATTTGGATTTTCTCATCAGCCTCATCCCGGCGCTTCGTTACGGGGAAAATCCCCGTGCTGGTGCGATGGCTCATTCCCGTCGTGACAGCTCATTCCTGTCGTGACAGCCACGTGCCCGTGCTGCTGGGGATGGGATGGGATCCATGGGATGGGATGGGATGGGATGGGATGGGGTTGGGATGGGAACCACAGGAATGGGTGGCTGTGTGCTGCCATGGGCCCGGTGGGTGCCCTGGGCTGAGAGGTCAGGCTGTGGGGCAATACTGTGTCACACGTGTCCCCACCCATCCCAACCCAGTGCCCACCACGTTCCAGGACACCGGGCATGGCCCCTCAGCCGGGTGTGAAGGTGCCGGGGGCTCATCTGTCTCTGTCACGGCTGCACGGAGCCGGTACCGCCGGAGCACGGCGAGGATGGTGCAGCCGAGGGGGTTCTGCACAACCGGGGGCTCAGCAGCCCGGGGTCCACCGCCTGTGCCCACCCCCAGTTCAGGGCAGCGGCTGGAGGTGAGCGGGACCCCCAGAGTCAGAGTCCACGGGGCTGGTGGGTTTTGTGGGATTTCGTGGGGCTGGGGATGGGCCCCAGTGAGGGGCGGGGATGGGGGGTGTGGAGGAGGAGGATGCAGTGCTCGGGAACGCTGGCATTGGAGGGAGGGGCGATGCTGTGCCCCCATTGCCCCCAGCCTGGCAGGGAGCTGCAGGGCTGTGGAGGGCGGGGGGCTTGAGGATTCCCTCTCACAGCCCCCTCCCAGGACTGCACCTGCAATCCCTTGGCACATCCCTGAGACACCATGGGTCCCTTCACCTCTCACCCCGAGCCCTGGGACCCTGCAGGCCGGGGGTGCCACCATCCCCAGCGGGACCCCTGGGGGTCCCACATAGCCAAGGAGCTCTTAAGGGTCCCGTCCCCCTGGTCACGGGGGTCCATGCCACGCTCAGATCCTCTCGGGCAGAGCTGGAGACCCCCGACAGCCCCCCAGGTTTAGGACAGGGGGATGGGGGCTCAGGTTTCCCTCGTGCCGGGCTGGAGCCGGGGGCCATTAGCCCCCTCGGAGCATGACGGGGCAGGGGGACATCAAAGTGCCTTCAGCTTGACAGCGCCTCGGGGGTACGGGAACATCCCCCCAGTACCTGCCCCTGCCCCTCTGCATCCCCCAGCCCTCATCTCCCCCCTTCTCCGGGGCAGCCCCCGTGGGCGGGGGGCTCATTTACCAACGTCAGCCCCGCAGTTGGTTTGAATTAGGCTCCTCCGGGGCCGGCGCTGATAAGGGAGGGGGCGTGGGGGGCTCCGGGGGGCTTCCTGCTCTGCCGTCTGTAACTGGCTGCCAGAGCCGCTGCTGACAGACACAGGGACAGCCCCCGCCTCGACACCCCCGGCATCCGTCCGTCTGTCCATCCGTCTGTCCCTCCGTTCATCCACCCACCTACACGCTCCCTCCCCCACAGGCAGCCCTGTTTGGGGTCCCCATCCTGCACCTCCACTCCTCCAGCCCTGGCTGGCACTTTCATACTGCACCCACAGCCCTCTGGTGCCAGCAGGGATCCCTGTCCCACACCTCCAGCTCTGCATCTCATTTAGGATCCCTCACCCAACCTTCTGATCCCGTTTGGGACCCCTATCCCGCAGCCTCACCCTTGGACCCCAGTCTTGCACCCCAATCCCTGTGGCTCCGTTCAGAACAGCCATCCTGCTCCCCACACCTCCAGCCTTTTTTTTGGGACACCCATCCTGCGACCCGAACCCTCTGTCCTTGCTCAGGACTCCCAAGCCCTCCAGCCCTACCGAGCCCCCCCATCCTGCTCCCCCCAGCCCTCCAGTCCTATTTGGAACCCCCATTCCACAACCCCGCCCCTCTCTCTCCGCTTGGGACCCTAATCCTGCACCCCACCACTCCACCCTCATTCCACCCACCCATCCAGCCCCATTTGGGGTCCCCATGTCCGGATGGCCCCGCGGCCCCCGCGTTTCCCTTGGTCCTTGTGGGGGCTTTGAGTCCGGCCGCCCCCCGCCCGGTGAGCGATGGCCGACAGCTGGGCCGGGCCGGGCCGTAACCGGATCCGCCGGCAGCGGCGGCGGCGGCGCGGGGGTCCCGGCTCGGGGGTCCCGGCTCGGGGATCCCGGCGCGGGGGTTCCCGGCTCGGGGCTCAGTGCGGGGCCGGGGATGAAGGATAGACCACGGGGCACCCGATACCATACCCACACAAAGCCGGTGGGATGCTCAGCCCAGGATGGGACACCCGTTCGGGGGGCGAGGATGGAGGGGTGATCCCCGACCACCGTACCGGGGGGGATGGAGCGGGGTCAGACTTTGAGGCCTGTGCCGCAGCCAGGGCCCCTCCGGAGCCGCGTTCCCGGGATCACCGGGATCCGGCACCTGTTCCTCCCGCAGCACGGGGGCCGCAGCCCCGGCTCCCAGCCCCACCCCCGGGATACCCCTGCCCCGGGACCCCCCGCCCGCAGCTGTGCCCGTGGCTGCCGCGGGCGGATCCAGATGGCGGAATATTGTCCTGGGCTAATTAGGGCCGCGTGGGGGCTGCGAGGTTCCCCCCTTCCCCCGGCAATCAAAGGGCCGATGACTTTATTAAGGCTCATTATGTGGGGGCTGGAGGAGCCGGACACGCACCAGGCAGCCGTGACGGGATCGTGCCAGGATGGATGTGGGGAGCTCCTGCACAGCCCTGAGGGGCTATGAGACCCCCCCAGCACGGAGGGAAACGGGCAGGAGGGGCTGCATGGCCCTACAGTGCACCCCTAAGCTCCCCATGGCTCAGCCCCCCATGGGTGCAGCCCATCTGGGGGTCACTGACTCCTCACATGTAGCCCCCAGCTCCTGGAGCTGCTGGCACAGAGGGGATCCAGGTCCTGAGACCCCCACAGCAGCCTCCAGCCCACCCCCAAGGAAAGCAGGGACTCAATGGGCTTTTCCACAATTTTATTCCAAAAATAAATTCAAAGTGGGGTATAAGTTATGGGGGTTGGGGGGTGGGAGCAGGGCTGCACTGGGGGGGCAGTGCCCACCCCCCAGCCCTACCTCCTCTTGTCCTTGATGCTGTAGTGCAGCAGGAGCGGCGCGGGCTGTGGGGTGAGGGGGGGTCAGGGATGGAGGGATCTCAGCCAAGTACCCCCCTTGGGGCAGAGACCCCAGATCCCAGCCCAGGGACAGGAACTCCAAACCTCAGTCCAGGGAACGCCCCCAGATAGGGACCCCCCCATCCCAGCCCATGACCCCAAACCTCAACCCAAGATCCCTGTGGGGCAGAGACCCCAAACCCCAGCCTGGAAGTGCCCTGGCACAGGAACCCCCAATCCCAGCCTAGGGACTCCCCTGGGGATGCACCCCAAACTTGGCCAACCCCTTTGGGGACCCCCCCCATTGCCTGATGCATGCAGAGGCCAGGGACTTCCCCAAATCACCACATAGACTAAAGATCCTCAATCCCCCAATCCCACACTGCCCCGAACCACCCCCACAGGGTCATCCCACCAACCCCCCGGCTGGGTGAACCCCAAAATCAGAGGTTGCCATCCCTTCTGATGGATGCACACCTTGCCAAACCAGCGTGACAGCCAGAGCTGCTTCATTGTCATGTGGTCGGGGAGGGGCTCGTTGTCAAACAGGATCTGCACCTGTACGGGGAGGCTGCATCAGGGGAGAACAGGACACCCCTGGGGGCTGGGAACCCCCCCGGACCCCCACTCACGTGCTGCAGGGACAGCCCCAGCCGGTGGCACAGGACCCTCCGCAGGTGTCGGATCTGCGCCCGCACCGAGCACCTCACGTATTTCTGCTGCGAGGGACAGAGCAGGTTGGGGGGCTTTGGGGGCCTCCAGGGACCCCACACCCCCCTCCCCCGGGACCCTACACACCCCTGTCAGGGCCAGGGTGAGAGCTGGGGGTCAGGGGTGGGGACTGCGGGGATCCCCACTCACCTGCAGCACGGCCTTGCTCTTATCCTTGCTGGAGCTGTGGCAGGAAGAGAAAGGGACACGTGTCCAGGGTCTCAGGGGTGGGAGCCATGCCCAATGTCCCCCTTGTCCCCTCCCCACCACACCGAGGGGCTGCAGCCCCCCCGGACTCACCTCAGCTTCTCCAGGCAGAGCGAGACATGCTCGTCGTAGCGGAAATAGTGGGCACGCGAGTGATCAAAGGTGCTGTAGGGGAGCCCCATGGGGTCACCTCCCACCGTGTCTGGGGACACAGGTGGCACTGTCAGCCCCCTGTGCCCCCGACACCCCCCAGCACCGCAGCTGGCTGCCCCCTGTGCCCCCCTGTCCCACCGTCACTGCTGGGCTGCGTCACCCGGTCAAGGCCACGGGACTGGTAGAACTCCCGGATGCGCTTCTCCTCACCTGCAAGGGAGAGATGGCTCAGGGACACACCTGGGCCCATCTGCCCCTGAGGACAGTCCCTGGCTGTCCTCCCTCCCTTCACTGCTCCCACTGCACCAAGCACCCTCCACAAACCCTGTTCCTGTCCCCATCCCTCTCTCTCTCCCCGTCCATATCCCCATTCCTGTCCCTGAGTCCACCATGTCCCTCATGTCCCCTGTACTGCGCTGCAGGCCATGGCCCCTGAGCCCACCATGGCCCCTGAGCCCCCCATGTCCCCCTTGTCCCCCGTACTGTGCTGCAGGCCGGGCACCAGCTTGTACACGATGTCCTGCATGACCCGGTCCAGTTTCAGGTTGAGCAGCGGCTGCGTCTCGTGGATCTTGGTGTTGCACATGGGGCAGTACTTGCTGGTCTGCAGGTACTTCACGATGCAGCTCTTGCAGACTGGGGACAGGCACAGGTGTGACAGGGTTGGAACCTCACCCCCCACAGGACTCACGGCCCCCCTTCCCCAGCCCCCCCAAGGGTGGGGACACTCACAGGTGTGCAGGCACTCGGTGATGGTGGTGGCGTCGATGAAGTACCCGGCGCACAGGAAACACACGATGTGCTCGTTCAGCTCCTTCATCTTCACCTTCACCTCCTCCTGCGGGGACACATCGCTGTCACCTGGAGACCACCCCCACGAGACCCCTCTCATCCTTTACTTGGAACCCCTTAGCCCAAGGGGCTTCTCCTGCCATTCCCTTAACATGCTAGAAAATGGGATTTTGGGGGGGGGGGGTTGCACCTCTTGTTTTGCGTTAATATGCCAGAAAACAGATTCTGAGGGGCTGCCCCCCCCCGTCTTGCTAAAATATGTCAGAAAACGGGATTTTGTAGGGATTGCTCCCTGTCTTCCATTATTACACCAGAAAATGGGATTTTGAGAGGCTGGCCTCACTCTCTTACTTTAATATGCCAGAAAATGGGATTCTGGGGGGCCAAGCCTCCTTTTTTCTCTTATTATGCCAGAAAACAGGATTCTGGGGGGGGGTTGTGCCTCCTGTCTTCCATTATTATGACAGAACACGAGATTTTTGGGGTGCTGCACCCCCTGTCTTTCCTTAACATGCCAGAAAACAGGACTGACCACTCTGCATTCCATTATTACACCAAAGAAACGGGATTTGGAGGGGGCTGGGTCCCCTGTTTTGCCTTAGTATGTCAGAAAATGGGATTTTGGTGGTGCGGGGACACCCCCAGCCCAGTGCCTGCCCCGAGCCTTGGCCACGCCCCCTTCCCGTGGCCCCGCCCTCCCGCACCGCCCCTCGGTCTCACAGCGCCCCCCAGCGGCACCACCGCGGCACCTCCCGTCCCCGCCCGTGCTGGTCCCCGGTGTCGCCGCCACCGCCTCCTCCCGGTGCCTCCCGCCCTCCCGGTACGGCCGCTCGCCTCGTTCCGCAGCGGGTCCATCTTGTAGACGGCCTGGAGCTGGTTCCGCAGCCGCATGGCGATGGCCATCGGGCCCCCCTGAGGAGGCGACGCCATCTTAGAGCCGCCTCCGCCTGTGGCCTCGCGCACTTCCGGGTTCGAGGCGGGGCCGCGGTGAGCGGCGGGACTACAACTCCTAGCGTGCCCCGCGTGTCTCGGGTCGCGGCGGGCAGCGCAAGCTCGGCCCTGTGCTGAGCCTTCACCACGACCCACGGCGAGAGGCCCGGGATCCCGAGAACCCTCGACCTCGTCCGTGACCGGGGGATCCGCCAGGAGCCGCCGCCACTGGACCCGCCGTATTTAGGGGAGGGTGTTCCCAGCACTGGCCAATAGGGAGAGGGCCGCGCTCTTGACGGACAGCAGCGGCCGCCAATCAGAAAGGGCTCTGCGTGCGCGCGGTGCTGCGGAACGCCGCCAGAGGGCAGCAGAGCAACGCGGGGGAACGGGAGGTGCGGGGGGGCCGGGGATGGCGGGGGTCTGAGGGGGACTGAGGGGGACTGAGGGGGTCTGAGG